AACCACTACGTGAAATCACTGGTGAGCTTCGACTGTGGAAACTGACATATAAATAGACAAAGTATGGTGACGGAGCCCAGAAGAATACATATGGTGGCAAAACAGCCAAATAGAGACATGCAGTCCCGGGCCACAAGAAAGTGCGCCCTTTGAGTGAAAATGACCACAACTCCAAAGCCCAGGTGGCTCTTGAAACTTCGAACCCGGTTACACATGTGATCCACGGGATACCACAGCATCCAGGCGCAAAAGGAAACACAAAAGGAAGCAACCAACAGGCACTCCATCCGTCCACACACACAGTCAAGACGAAAAATGGACGTTATCAGTGTTGACAGAGTGAAGATCTCTGGACAATAGAAAACGCTGAAAGAGTTCTCTCACCGGGAAGATGCTCTATGGACAATTCTCAGTGAGTGAAGGTAGAAATTGCCTGTTAGGTTCCTTTCGTACCCTCCTTCTCCCGTCTCCCCCTCCCAGCTGCCAGGCCGATAAAGCAGGAAGTCCCATACAACAAAAAAGAGTAGTCGAAAGTACTTCCAGTCACTCACGTGTCAAGACGAAAAATGGTGAGCAGGACCATGCATAAGATATAGAAAACAAACATTAGAAAGAAGGGCAATCATATGCGACCAGACAGCCGGCGACGGTTCTTGGCCATAGGACACACCCCTAGCGAAAAGGATTGGGAGCTAGGCCAGCCAAGGAAGCCACACATGAAAATATAGAGCCGACATGTTCACAGCATTCCAACGAAAGCGTGACAGACCACAGAAAATGGCAGGCGAAAAAGGGATGATCCAAGAGAGAAGTAGGAACCAGTTATGCTTCTTATCCTTCTTTTGCTTCTAGTCCTTCTTCTTTTCCTTGTCCTCCTTTTGCTTCATATGCTCCTCCACCATCTGCTTGAGGCCAACTTGCACAGGCCTTCTTCTCGGGCTTCTCAGCGCTTCTCGTTCCTCTTCCATTGCCTCCTCTGTTGGCGCGCAGCCTAGGTTTTCATCAGCCTAGAAGCAGATGAAACAACATGCATGTTCTTCCTGTATTCACGTAATGATTTGGAAGAACTCACTGCGGCAGTGCAGCTGAAGAAGGGGCTCGTATCGAGATTTTTGTTTCTTACGAACGACTGGCCTCTCACTTTAATTTTGCCCTCGCCGCCCTCCGTGCCGACATAGAGGAACAAAGACCCTCTCTTTTCTAACTCTTCCAACGCGTCGAAGTCGGCGCGGCTAAGGCTACAGACATATCGACCGTTGAGCCAAGATACACAAATGTGGACGGACGCGAGACCTACCAGCACGAGGCGACGTTGACCGACGGAAAGTCCCCGTCCGGCTGCACAGAAGCCGCGAATGTGCTGTACCTTGCCGCAATACCGTCAAGATCAAAGATGTTTGGGCCTGTGGGAGGGCAGGTGCCTGGCAGGAACACACAAGGCAATGTAGGATGAAGCCTGGCAGGAACGTGCGCATGACTCACCAGTGCAGCACTCTTTGTTGCTGAAGCCGTAGACGATCGACTCACAGAACTGAAAACATGACAGGCTGTGTATGCAAAAGAACGACCATTCTTCAATCGTATTGCCCTCCTTACCTCCTGGCTATTTTCAGGTATTTCTTTGCAGAGGATCTGACATCAAAACGATTGCTGTGGCACTTGGTTCCTCTGTTGCTTTGCTTGGCCTACCTCCCATTGAATGTCGACGACCATGTTGTCGTCATTTCTCGGCAAAAAGGCCTCCGCGACATCTCTGAGCTCACCATCTTTGCGTACGAGGCCTGACTGTCGGATGATAACGACATCCGTCACTTTATTCGAGAACGCCGGCAACGTCTTGTCACCAAGCAACAGGTCCAGAATATCTATATCACAAAACCGAAAAATGGCTCACCATACATGCCACAAAACCATACCGGATCGCTCACCAGTGCCACATACGGTATCTTCGTCATTGGGCGAAGGCTCCTGTTCCGGGAACTCCCCCGGAAACAGATAGGTGGTTCTTGTGTCGACGTAATCTTGACAGCACATAATCCAGTGAACAAAAGAAAGATGGAAACGAAGAAATGTCCGCGCATGTACGTACCTCGCAATTTGCCCTTTGTGTCGTCGTCGAAGACAAATGTATACGCATCACCGCAATCTTGGGTCGTTTCATCACACGGCGGGACAGGGAACTCATCCTGTGCGCGGCTAGTCGTCACCTTGGGGCTGAGAATGTCGATGAGTGCATCCTTCTCTATAGTGACAGAGTCCGGGCACGTTAACTACAATCAAGAGGACAAGAAATGACCGTCGTCGAGAAGATGACCGTCTGAGAAGCAGTATAGCTCACCTTTGTCGTCCCAGAGTCTTCCTCAGACGGATTCAACAAGGCATCGGTCATCTAAAGAAAGATATCACTACCACAATCAATCACTTGCAGCTATATTCTTTCGTGTCTTACCAGCTGCTCTTCGCGCCCCTCGTCGCCCAAGGGGCATTCTGCAACAGGAGACACAACGTAGCACATGGCAACACAGACATGTGCCAACTTTGGGGCTCAGACTTTTATCCTTACTCGAGAAGAAGCACTGCTCGCCGTCAACCGGTTCCTCCGTAAAACAACAACGGGCTTTCTCACAACGTTCTTGCAGCGGTTTTCCGTCGTCATCGTCTAAAGAAGGTGAACAAAGCAGGGAAATTGTACTCTTGTGTCTCCCTCTTCCTCCCCCTCCCCCTTACCGTCGTCATCATCGTCGTCATCCTGAAGGCGTCGCTTCATGGCAGAATTATCCCTGAGACGCCGGCGGCGGCGGTCATCATCGTCATCGTCATTGTCATCGTCATTGTCATCGTCATTGTCATCGTCATTGTCATCGTCATTGTCATCGTCATTGTCATCGTCATCGTCGATTGGGGTGCAAACGCGTGCCGGGTCCGTGGCAGGACCGAAGTCTGGGAATTCTTCAGTGTCGCAGTAGCCAGTCTCAGGCGTAGGCATCCTGGGGGGAGGCGGAGCTCCACAGCCTTCCCCGTCACATTGTCTCTTAAACTGTCTTCCTTCCTCATCTCTTGTGCCCTGTGCTCCTACCAGGGGGAGCACCACAGCGAAGAGGATGAGGAACGCGGATAAGCAAATCGCCGGTTGCATTTTCGAGCTGCCTTTGAGCTTTTAGAATTCGGCGTTACCACGACGTTATCCAATTCTAACGGCTTCGCTACGCCAGTGAAATGGAAAAATGGAAAAGAAAAATCGATTGTCTCTGAGGCTCATTGAGAGTGAACTGTTGCAGGGGGCCTGAAATGAGGCCATGGAATTTATCAACGCTGCTTCTGCAATGAGGCCTCATTTCAACAGCATGGCAGCTGCTGACCAGTCGCCCACTGGGTCCTACGCCTTCAGCCCACAAGAGAAGACAAGCAGACCCTGGCTTTGTCTCCGTCTCTCCTCTGTTTTTTACAAGGTGTCCTGTCGGTGTCTGGAGTATGCAGTCACTGCATAATAGATATCATCCCCTCGCTCTGCACCAATGCGAGTATGGTGGGAGACGCACATGCATAGGGCCAGCCGGCCCCACAGCCCCGACGACCAGAGGGGGTGTGGCGGCCGGCTGGCTTCCTGCATCACCATACGGCGTCTCCATCTTCTCATCTGTGTCGCATTATGAAGGAGTTCAAGGAGATAGAGACAGAAGGGTAAGAAGGACTTGCGCATATGCGTGTTCTCATTTGGGCCCCGTTTTTTCACAACTGTAGCCGTAAGCGCCTATCTGTAGCCGTCGCAGCCGATGCTGGCCTTCGTGCTCCTCTGTGCTCTCCTTGAATGCATACATATGTACCGTGAATCAATGACACAACAATTGCTGCGTCACGCTGGCCTTCTGAAACTCACGGTTCTGACACTCACGGCCAAACCCAAACCCTGGAGTTCCCTTCCTAGGTTATTAGAGTGTCGGTAATTATGGAGGCAGCGGTCCCTCCACAAAAAAGGACAGAAAAAGGTCGGTCTCGTTCCGCCTTGCTGTTGGTCTTTGTAGGGTCGCTGGGCGTGTTCCTTATGTCGTCCGTTGTGTCTCCGTCTCTGTGTCTGCATGGATGGTGGAGTTCGTCCCTCAGAGGCATTCTCAGCCGCTGTGCCTCATCTACTTCACTTCATCCATGTGGCCAACAATACACAAGAGACCAACACTCATCGATTGGGTCAGTGTGGCGCACCGACTGGATCACGCAAGATCCTTTTATCAACCATCGATTCGATATCTTGTTGGTCGGGCTCGTCCGTCAACTTCCATTGCACCCCCTCATCTTGAACCGGCGTATTGAGGTAGCCCTCCTCCTGCATCATCTCCACCACTCCCCTGAAGGCCGAGCTCCCTTGCCTCCGCAGACACCAGGTCTTCAACTACACGCCATACAGAGGTTTTTTCCTTCGAGCGTGACGAGTTTGCGTCACCTACCTGTTGCCACGTGTATCCAGGCCCTTTTTCCTCCCCTGGATAGACGAAATTTCCAAAGCTAAACTCGTCCACAATCTTGTTTGCTGCCTCGATACACCGACCCTGCTCGTCAGTCACAAAATGAATGGCGTATGACTTATCTCTCGAGTTTGCGATACGTCAACGACCTACCCGGGCCTCCGGCCTGATGTTCTGCTTCTGTACCGGTTGTCCCGGGGGCTTGCTGCCGTCTGTCTGTTTCTTCACGACTCGACCACTGCAACGTCACACACCACCCCAGTCACACACCGGCACCGTGCATCTTGACCTACATTCATTCGCTCACCTTTTGGCCTGCACCCCCCCTGGCACTCCTCCAGACGGCGAGTCCTCTCCACCAATCACGGCTTGAACCATCTTGGGCGACTGCAGCGGACTCTTTCCTCCCTTTTTTTATCACAGCGTGGCCTCTGCGACGCACACACCACTCCATGCGATCAGGGTTACTCATACTCGGTAGGGCGTAGACAGGCGTAGATTTCCTCGAGATCCCGAAAATCGGCAGCTTCATCGACTGCCATTTCTTCCATTCCGCCTGCAGCGGACACCGACAGCTTGATCAGACCACAGGCATGAACACATGTCTGGGTGCCCCAATTGCATACCATGGTCTCACGGTCCGTCAGGCTGACCGACTAAACCTTGTACCCTTTCTGTTGCAGCCAGGGCTGTATGTTCTGGAACTCCTCGGCCTGCATGGATTGTTCAGCCACATGGAGGAAGCTCGATCTCAGATAAGAGACTCCTCCGGTATCTATTCAACAGAAGTTTCACTGCCACTCAAAGGTCCTTGCCAAACTTCGTGTCTCACACACGCAATCGACTGTCCCTCCTCGTGTGAAATGTAATGGCTGCGTCTGACTGGGCGCATCTCACAAAGTGACAACGAAAGACTTGTAAGAGCGCCTGCCTGCCTGCCTACAGCTCAGAAGCTCATGCCCTGGGCACGACAAGCAGCCGCAGCTGTCGATTATGTGTCGCGATGCGGGGGAGGCATACACTGATGACTTGTCTCTAAACGGAAAATGACCAAAATCACAATAGCAAGAGCACAGCACCTACCCAACTTCCCCTCGCCCCCCCCCCCCCCCCC